ACAGAGAGAGAGAGAGAGAGAGAGAGAGAGAGAGAGAGAGCGAGATCTATATACACACACACACACACACATGCACACATGCACATAAATATTTTATAGAGGTGGAGAGAAAGAGAGCGAAAGAGAGAGAGAGAGGGAGAGGTATACAAAAAAGTTGTGGTTGTCGATATCAGTTTGGAGAAGCTTGAAGTTATTGGTTATTGTATCTGCCAAAAAAAAGAAGTTGTCATGCAACCCTAATAAATTTTAACAACTGGTCCACCGAGCTGTAACCTCATCAGATTTCCAAAGACTGCCACACATTAAGTTCAAATGCGGGGTTTAATTTCCCAGGCCATCACAAGATCAGTTTATACAGACAATCCGTTTCAGAGACCTGCCAGCCCCGACAGAGGCCTACTTCACTTGCAGACAAATGCGAGGATTTGCAAACTGTTGATGTAACAGCATCGATTTACCAGTGCAGCCAAACATTGTACCCTTCTGCCCATTTAAAGCCAAAAAAGTTAATCTGTGCACGCTTATGAAATGCAAATGACAAAACAGGTGGCCCCATTCATGAAAAACAGACTCACTGAGTCCTCCATTCAAGTCGGCTGCCGTTTAGTCCCCTTTCAGTACCAATGCGGTCATTTTGACCCTCCAAACAAAACCATCATGCTACCGAGGACTGAATAAACCCTGTAAAAGTACAGAGCTGCGTTTATCTAAATGCATTTTTACCATGACAACGGCCATTAGAGTTGAGAGAAGACTTGAGAGAGCGTGATAGGTCAAGTAATCTGATAAAAGCCACCTGAAAGGACTCTCTGGGGATGTGCCAACAAGGTCTTCAGATTGGTTTTATCGATACGCATACATTGTTGATGCATCTTCTTTTGTTGATTATCGATGATGATACATACATACAATAAACAGTTCTGTTTACTAATTAATAGAAAACTGACACATTATAAGTATTGGAAATTTCATGGTGAGAAGAAACCATTGGAAGTTTGATTCAGGGGGATGAACCCATTGAGATGCAACATATTGTTTGCGAGGGGTTCCCACACAATATCTTAAAGTAACTAATTTTAAAATAACATATATCATAGTATATTAGGGTACAACCAATCTTAAAAAAAAAATCTCATATCCGATGAATTAGTTGAAATATGTAAATAGATATTGACAGATAATATGTAAAAAATATAGGACTGATAAAACAGTCCCTTTACGCTTACCACAATGAATATTTAAGTTGTCCTTATTTGGTTCACGAGTGAGCTGCAGCCTAACCCTGTTGCCATTGGGCAACAGGCAGGGTACTCCATGGACTGATCACCAGTCAAATAGGAGGGAAAATATAGACAGTCATTCACACCATATCAGTCTGAGCCTGAAGACGAGTGAGTATTTATCAAAGTGTGGCACGGGTTTCCATAGAGACACACGAGGTGATCAAGTACAGAATCTGCAAGAGTAACACTGTAGCAAATACCACTGTGCCATTTAAATGTGTACTCGGACACACATATACTCAATCAGCTGACGACTACGACACAAACACTAGCTGACACACACAATACGCATTTGTCCCAAATGCACATTGAGAATTGAGGTGATAAATAATGCAGCTGCCATGATGGCTTAGTCTCTTCTTAATGCGGCTGAATTGATTAGTGAGGAACAGGAAGAGACGTGAGAGGCTTTCGGGGAAATACAAACTGCACGGCAAACCTGGTTGGAAGAGTTAAAAGCAGGCATGCTCTTAAATGTTTTATTTTAAATCATCATACGGTTTGAAAACAATATACTGTAGTGGATGTGCTTCAATTACATCACAAAAATGTGAACATCTCCTTTAATGAACCAAATTAATATATAAATCGATTTCAAAGCCAGTCACTGGTGGTGTAATAGTTCATTGGCCTGATTTCCGTCAGTCCAGGGTGTAGCCCACCTCTCGCCCCAAAGCAGATGGGATAGGATCCAGCTTCCTGAACAGGATCAACGGTGTCGAGAATGGATGGATGGGTGGAATTTCAAAGCCCTTACATTGACACTGGTCAACTGCATTATTTTCCCAGGTTTTTCAAAGAAATCCATCCATCCATTTTTGATACTGCTTGTCCTCATTAGGGTTGCTGATGGGACGGGGCTAATCACATTTGATTATAGGCGAGAGGTGGGCTACCCGCTGGACTGACAAACAACCAGTTCAACTCAGAGTCACACCAACAACAATAAGCAGTAAAGATTAGTTGAAGATAATTATTTATATCAAAAAGTGACAGTTCACAAATCGCCCTGGCCTTTGGCCCTTTCACTTTAATGGCTGCTCCTTAAATTGCTTCCTCTTATTTCATTTATATAGCACTTTTCACAATAGCAGCAGCTGTGACAAAGTGTGACGCATAACTCAGGAAAGACAATAATTAAAATAATAAAAAGTAACGGAATAGTATATTTTCTAAAAATAAACACACATACAAAAGATCCCTTTACAGTGGCATTCTCTCTTGTTGCACATGTGAATGCTAGGCAATGCTACGGTTAGAACCATCTTTCCCAATTAAAGCCTCTGAGGCAAATTTTATTTTTAAGTATCAACACTGAACATTGGGCTGTTTGCGGAAGCTGTTCATGAAGGAAGGAACACGCCTTAAAGCCAACCTGCAGAGGTGAAGTAATGCATTGAATGTCGCAAGACAAAGCTCCAACGTAATCACACAATGGTCATCTAAAAAAAATAGTCTTCCCCTGTAAACAGAGCTACCACTATGCACAGCAGCGTTCCTCTTTGAGGGACAAAGGAGCAACTTTAAAAATAGCCTCCGTTGATCTCTGCCTCCTTCACTCACTCCCTCGTAAACACACACACACACACACACACACACACACACACACACACACACACACACACACACACACACACACGTGTACAAATGCACATTTGCATTGTGCTGCAAGGCTTTGCGAATGTTGTATCTTGATGCCGGAGCCAAGCAAGCAGTTGGAAGAGCTTAACTCCAGGAACTCTGTCATATAATATTACTGCCAAAAAGCAGTAATATTGACCATGAGTGCTCAACGGCAAGTGATGAAGAGATCTGACAAGAGAGGGAGGGAGTGAAGCTCCACAGGCAGTCAGGGAAAATGCACAAAGCGATGCTCAAGGCTGATAACAACTGTCAACACTGTGGATGTCACAGACCATCCAAGCAGCATGGACTCAAAGGGCCAAATAATTATTCATGTTTTGTTGGCAGCAATTGGGGGGGGGGGGGCAGGAGGCGTGTTATCGCTGCGCCTGTTTAGATCTTTTTATTTCATATTTCATCTATTAAATTAAATAACACACCACAAATACCTCCTAACCAGAGGTAATACTGGGTGGATGATTTTGGCTCTGTTACTTTATGTAAGGCAGATACCAGGCCACCGGACGGCTACTGTAGCACCGCTTCACATCTCGATAAGAATGTTGAGTTGGATCTAAATAAAACAGGTCAAGGGAGAGAACTACTGAAGGCTAATTGTGCTGAGGGATATATTCCAAGTGGGCAGAAGCAGCGGCAGCAACAGCAGCAGCAGCAGCAGGCCAAGGCTTTGAAACATGACTCGGCAGGAAAAGTAGCCAACAGTTGATGGACTGATTGTTCACAAGGCAGACAACATCTACACATGTTTCCACAACATTTCATTGCTGGTGTCGTGTTGTGTGCACGCTTCAGCCTAAGCTGCAGTAGCTATTACAAACCAATGTGAGCTGGAGCCTATCCCAGATGACTTTGGGCAGGTCACCGGCCAACAGCGGGGCACGTTATTCTCACTGCAGATGAAACTTATGTTCTTTACTTCCTCACAAGCCGCTCAAAGATCAGTGCTTGGAAAAATTGTGACAAAGGACACACTAGAGGAAAAGGGGAAATATTCAGCAACCATTAATTCAGAGATAAATGGCATTTGGGTCGGAATTGATCGTTGATCAATCAAATTTTGATTTAGTTGAGGTAACATGGATTGTACGACTTGTCTGCAACCAGCAGATTACTTGTTTAATCAGTCTCCAATAGTTTAAAGGCTGAAGAGAAATTTGAAGGGAAGTTAATTATAAGTATCTGCAATGTTTGAAAATGCTGAAAAAACAGTTTCGTAAAATTATACAGTATCTATCATGGTCTTTAATCTGACCTATTTTTTTTTTCTTAAAATAAGTTTCGTCAAGTTCTCTCTCAGGCAAATATGCAGTACAAACAAAGGTTATCTTATCATATTTTGACTTTCTCCAGGAGTAAACTGAATCCTCAAAATGCCAACTGATAAAAAAAAAACAAAAAAAAAACTATCTTTCATGAATATTTGTTCAACAATTAATAATTAACACAACTCAGTCAGACTGATCTATATTGTGGGGAAAAAAAAAGTCAAAAAGGAGACTCATCAAAATCTCCTGCTTATGACACTGTAATCACAGGTGTGATGTAATGTGGCGCAATTCCTATTTTTAGCAAAAAGACATTTACGGGGATGAAAATGAAATGTCAATCCTGTTACAGAAATGTCACCCTCCCATTTATCACCTTGTCATTTTTCGAGCAGTGACTGAGAGACCGCCTGGCTCTGCTGAAGCACCTGGCCTCCATTTATAAGAGGCTTAATAATTTATGGCTCAACAAATCTTACAAAGTGAGGACCTTTCCTACTTTTAAAAGTTGCAGCGGTAATGATCACCTCTAGATAGGGTGGTCATTATTTATTCAACATGTCTGAAAGGGGAATTTATGAAAAGTGAAAAAGACACTTGCAGGTGAGATTCATTTTTCTATCCTGGGCGCGGTGACACAATGACCTAGTGGTTAGCATTTCTGCTTTTCAGTCAAGAGGTTATGGCTTTGAATCTTGCCCCCCTCCTGTGTAGAGTGTGCTGGTCCACTTAATGCTTCTGTAAGTTTTGCCTGATACTCTGGCTGTCTCTCACATTTCAAAACCATGTGTTCGATTACATGAACACTTTCAATTGTCTTAAGAATGCAAGTATGAATACTGTAATTGTTTTTTTTAATCCATTTGCTGACTGTTGCTAATCCATGTGGCAGCCATTTTGCCACTTGCTGTCGACTGAAAATGAAATCGCAGTGATTCAGGGCTCAGGTAACAACTGTCATGGCTCACCTATTTTCTGAAAGCAAACTTGATGATGTTACAATACACACGAACGTGTTGCGCTGTCAATTTCATTTCGGACCACTGTCCCAGGACCAACACCACAGCAGTTTGATGGCAGTCACCATTGCTTGAACACTTTGTCGCAGAGAGTAAAAAAACGTCCTTCCTATTGACAATTTAAGACTCCATGAAACTTCCTTCTATGTTTATTGGAATGACGTGTTCAGCTAAGACCTGTGAATGTGTCACTCTCGCTGACACTCTCATAAGAAAAGCGACCAATTACAAGGGTCAAATGTCTCGCAAGGTGTTTATGTCTACAACAGAGATGGATGTCAAGTCTGAACAGTTTGGTATGAGCGAGTCACCAATAATCCGGTATGCTTTGCACCTGGTCACACCTGCTCCATGTGAACTGTGACAGCAGGCACTCTTGTCATACATTTAAGAAGATAGCAATGTTGTAAAATTACAACAACAAATGCTGGCTCTGATTGTAATGCAGTGTTAACAGCATGCAAATGAGAGATTTGTGGACACTTGAAGCAGTTAAAAAATAAATAAACTCCACAAAGGGAAGGCTGGAGCTGGAATCGAACCCCGCACCTCTGCACTTTTCAATAATTGTTAAAAAATATATATAGGCGACAACACATGTAGAAAAGCAAAAAGACTCCGTTCTGCTGGATGTGCATCTCAGCATCGCTGGTATGTCTTTCAATTCCATTACTTCTCAAATCGCCCTCAGTGTGATGAGTGTTTTCTGCTTCGCTTCCTGCCAAATTGAGTTCTTGCCATACGACAACATGGCGCAAACAATGTTGATTGAGGCCCACATCCTTCTGACCACATGTTTTCAGGAACAATAAACACTATCCAGCTTGTGGGAAAACAATAGTTCCATGCCTGCAGAACCGCAAGCTAAATATGAGGTGGGTGTAAGAACTGTGAAGATTTTTCTGAATATTATGCCAAATTGTCTCTGTTTGCTTAGCTACTTTCTACATGACCACTTGTTTAACCACACAGACCACTGGGAATGATCCACATCACAAGTGCGCGCGCATACACATACACGCCAAATAAACACATCATTTTTGAATAAGACAGATATGAAGTCAATTCAGTTTACCTTGGCACTGAAATCCTTGTTTTCCAAAGCCCCTGCGGAAGCAAACAAAGAAGGATTAAATGAGTTGACCATTTCCACTCGCACGATCAGAAGCGCTTTCTATTTAACAGTTGAGGGTCTGAACTCATGATGTGAAACACATAAACAATCATGAGGTGTTTGCTGGGAGTTTTTGGAAACTAAAGCTACCCTAGCCTTCACCACTAGACTCCAAAGTCCAGGGATTCCACTGTGCACACATTCGGCATTCTTTGAGTCTGGAATGGTTTTCATGCAGAGAACTGGCACTGTGTGATTCCTGCTAGACTTGCTAAAACGTCCAGTCCGCTTATCTGCATGATGTTGTGTTAGTGAGTCCCTCCCAGAAGACAAAGTGGACTCTCCCTGCCTCTATTGATACAAAGGGGATTGGAACAAGTTGTAGTCTGTAATCACAGGACATGTTTGGCTCTCTGGACTACGAACTAAGGAGTGCCAATAGCCAGTGCACATGCCATGCTGTAAAACTGTCAAGGTCATAAACTGCAAGCAGTAAAGGCCATGAGATCATACTAGCACCTGCAACAGTGGATGCCTGTGAACACGGGCAGAAATCTACAACCTCTGAAGTTGAACACAACCTGTTAAGGAAGACTGGTCTATTTCTTTAAATTTAGACCAAAAAAAAAAAAAAAACACATGGAAATAATGTTGGCTATTCCATATTTGTACTCGTACTCTGACACATAAAAATGCCCCATTACTACCACACCAATACTACTTCATCAGCCTGACATGTACCTTGTAGGTGGGAGCCATGACAGCCGTGTCGATATATTCAAAGGTAAATATAAATGACAACACTTTTGGCCATCTTCAAATTATGCTGTGCAAAATGGATGATGAACTCGGCTCTGACGGCAACCCCCGGCAAGCATGTTTCATCAGCCCGTCACGCTCACGGCTGATTAATTTTAACCATATGGACATTCAGTTACATTCTAATGTGTTAATCTCACTTGAACATGTTTTTTTGCTCACGAACAGTTTAACTTTGCGGTACCTGATGAAAGGGACAGGCGGTCTGGATAATAGTTACCACTGAGATGCTGAAATTCAGAGCATTTGGACAATCTTAAATTAAAAACATTATCTAAATGATTCATTGATTATCAAAAAGAATTATCAGTTCATTTGAAAAGCCATTAGTTGATGATTAATCGATTAATTGCTCCACCTATACGAGGAATTAAAAAATAAATAACATTTTCATCTATCTATCCCATTTCAGTAACATTTTTCAGTCTTAACTGGCATAAGTGTAAAAATGAATGAACTTCTGTATAATCAAGCTAAAATAAAAAGACAGCTGACCCTTCGTAGACCCAACAATATGTATAGCAATTAAACAAGTAGAGAAGGAAGCTTGCTGAATGTGTTTCAACTGCATGCATTCAAAATCGCTCGGCGGTATATTAAAACATCCATCCATCCTTCCATCCAACCATTTTCAATTGCGCTCATTCGGTCCAGTAATGCTGGTACCTGCAGCATATCCCAACTGACTGGTCAAAAGGTAGACTACTGGACTACATACAATAACAGGGCCCATGTCAAATATCAAAATTTAATAACCATCCATTTTCCCCACACAACATATAGAGACAGATAACCCTTTACACTCACAATCACACCATCAAGGCCAAACTTACTGAGCGGAGAAGGTTTGCAAAGGTGTAGGCAGTAGCGACTGTTGCTCTTTTTTTGTCAGGATTCGTTCAAGGTGGCAAACAGTTGCAAAGACATTCACCGACAAATATAATGGCCTCAAACTGTTTTTCTTGATGCAAAGAAATTTGAACAAGTTCAAAGTTTGATGGCGACAAGAAATGTCTTTACGACCATTAAAATTGTTTGGGAATGTCAGGCGAATGTCTTTGAAACAGTTTGCTACATTGAACAAACTCTGCCCAAAAATAAAAACTCAAAAGACAATTGCTGCATGCGCACACACGTGCAAACCTTCAGCAGTCAGTGACATACATGTTCAGAGTGGGAACCGAACCCACGCTTGTCAGGGAAGGTTATTATAGTTAAAATAATAATAATAATAATAATAATAATAATAATAATAATAATAAAATGAAAAACTAAAATTATATTTGAAAAAACATTTTCATTCATGAGATGAAAATGAAAATGTTAAAAAAACAGAAGCAAAGAAACAAAAACAAAAAGTACTTTAATTACTTTATTACACACTATGTTGTAACCTTTTTTCCCTTTTCTTTCTCTAGTCAAGTACTGCACATATTTTTTTTAATTTAATACTAAAACTAAATAAAACAAAGAAAAACAAAGCGTTTTGGGGGGAAAAAAACTAATAAAAACAAACAAACCTGCTCTGAAAACTAATTAAAACTAACTGAGTTTAAAAAACAAAAGTCCAAATAAAATAAAAATTAACCACCATGAAAAATCCAATCTATTATAATAACTCTGCGGTGAATTGAGAGAACCATTGAACCAGATGTCTCCATCATGTCACTTGTGAGCTGCTGGTAGCCTGCTAGACAATTTCCAGTAACTGGCCAAACATCAAATTTGGCTTATATCTCTCACTCTGGAGACACTAGATGAAATAAAATATCAGAAATGTTTAAATCTCTTTTTTGAAATCTCTTTTAAACGTCTTGTCTTGTTCTGATTGCTGCATTAGTACTTACTGCAGCCCAAAATCTGATGATATCAAGCATTATGAAGTAAAAGGTGATATGTAAGGGAGATAAATATTCTCAAAATCAACAAAGACATCCTATATAGCTTGGAAATAATTTTAATTTCTTCATCGTTAAATATTGCCATAGAATACCAATGTGCAATGTTCTGCAGGAGATGTATAAACCAATTAAAAAATAAATAAACAAGAACATGGCACTGATCAATGAAAATCTTTTTACTCTGTAAGTCTTCTGCAGAATTACTCTCAAATGTGCACGTTAACGATAAAAAAAAAAAAGAATTGCAGTGTGCCTCAGCAAGGGAAATCTTGGACTCATCAGAAACGCGCATCAGCTTAAGCAGGAAACATTGCAGGAAATGTCTGTAATGCTAAATTTGTATAACGTTTACTTTATCATGACTTCCAATCAAAAGGGAACTTCACCAATGGAATACAGACTGCACATGCAAGCAACGTTTACACATTTTGAGGGCTTAAAAGAGGAAAATAAACAACACGGTCCTCGCCATGTGGGTCGGGGATCCCTGAAGAAGTCGACTTTTTGACATCGAAGTCGACACGTTGCTGCGATTTGCAGGATCAGGTGGGGAAAAGTTGCAAAGTGAAGTTGCGTAACATCATGAAGGAAGGATCGTAGGCGCGAAGTTGCAATCCAATATGCAACAGGCTGCATGCGTGGAGGTGGCCGGGTAGGGTGGAGGCGGAGACGAATGGCTTACCAGATGAAGTCCGTGCAGTGGCTGCAGAAAGTCGGCTGTTTGAAGAACCTGGCTATAAACTTGTGGTTCTTCACTTCGTGGACGTTTTTCTGCCTCAGGGCGCCTTTGCGAGCAAACCTATTCGCCACGTTCGCGGTGAACGAGTCGTTCAAACTTGTATCGGCCATGTTGAACGCAAACAAGCTCCGTGTCGCTGTTTTGCCGAGTGTCCTGTCTTGCTAGGGGTTGGGTCGGGAACCAGCAGAGAGACCCGCTGTAGACTTGGTGAGTGCTCGTGAGTGAGGGCTTTTCCCAGTCTGTGGCTGCCACTGGGCACCTCCGCTGTCAACTCCGAGCGCCGTCAAGTCAGCTATGGCTGAATACAAACAGTACATCCGCTATTACATTCAAAGTAAGACCATGTAAATTTCTCCTACTGCGCACGAGAAGCAGAGACCGCCCTGTCTATTAGACCCCCCCCCCCACACACACACACACACACACACACGCCAATTCACAGTCAACAGAGCCCAGTGTATGATTTTATTTTATTGTTTGACTTCTGGTCACTGGCTAGCAATTTTTCGTACATTTTTTACAGAGATGCAAGTAAACTTTTTGAAGTGATTTTAAAAATATCATTGTGATTTTTGTGCTTACTTAGAATATGCCCTCGTTTTTTTCTCTCGCAAATCAGGCTTTAATAATAATAATAAAGTAATATTCACCAACTGTGTGCGATTTAAGGGTTAGGTTCAGCAACAGGTGGAATTTTTTCTGAAGCGTCGTCGCTATAAATTACAAATCAGTGAAGCCCTGTTGCACAAGTTTTTATAGGTCCAACTTAAAAACAAGAAAATTGTCTCAAAAACATGATGTGTTAAAAAAAAAAAAGCAAATACATTTTTTAAATCTGTGTCGAAAACACACTTAGGTAAGCCATCTATGATTAAAATTTGCTGTTTTAAAATACCACACAGTTCTTGAGCTCCCCCTAAAATTGCCTTTTTTTTCCTCCTGTTCCTCCCTCTTGAGTGCCATCTTTCCTATCAAATGTGATCCACCACCTGAAAATTACTGTTTTACAGTAAATAGCATTAATGTATTGTGGCGGCACATTGGACGACTGGTTAGCATGTCTGCCTCATAGTACAGAGGTCCAGGTTTCAATTCTGGGCTCCGGCCTTCTTGTGTGGAATTTGTATGCTCTCCCTGTGCCTATGTGGGTTTTCCTAGATACTACGGTCCCCCATCCCCCCCCCCCCCAAAAAAAAAGAAAAAATGACCTACATGACTAAACAGAAATTACATCATCAAGTTGCAACTATAGGTAAATCAAAGGTACACTAAGTCCTCTTCTATTTTGAATAACTTTAGAATGTTTTCAGTTGTAATGGAGTGTGTAACTTAGAGGGGAATTTTCCAATAATCCACTTTTGTCATATTGATTTAAAACTAGCATGATTACCTGACAGTAGTACATGATAAATATGATCTGTGGGGGGCATCTCGGCCCTAATTTGTTGCCTCTAATTTTATTTTGAGAACCCACTGCATCAGATGAAAAACAATGAATCAGAGACAGGAGGTCTCAGTCTGGTCATGCACTTCCAGGAACACTGATTCATTGGAATCAAAACTCTCCATTACAAATAAGGTGCTTTTCTGAGGTAACAAGGGAGTAGTCAGCACGAGGCCATGGTGGATGACAAATGATTGACACCTCGTAAATCATGCCTTAAATCCCTGACTGTTTTTCTTTGGGTGTGGTGGCTTATTGCAAATCAGTTTACAGGCATAAAATGTTCATCATTTGACTTTCTTGAAAACACAACACAATATTATAAAATAAATTGACCTCAAATTCTGGAATCTCCCATAAATACTGAGGGAAAAAAAGAGTAATATAAAAATGTTTAAAATTTGGATTAAGGTAGTTAATTGTATTTATTTATTCATGCTGAAACTTTTGTGCCTTTTTACCTTGTTTTACGACCTAATATCCATCTATCCATCCATTTTCGAATCTGCATATCCTCACGAGGGTCGTGCTGGAGCCTATCCCAACTGTCTTTGGGCAATAGGTGGGGGACACCTTGAACTGGTTGCCAGCCAATCGCAGGGCACACATAGACAAACAACCATTCAAGCTCACAATCACACCATGAGACAATTTAGAGTGTTCCATTAATCTGCCGTGCATGTTTTTGGAATGTGGGAGGAAGCCGGAATACCTGGAAAAAACCCACGCAGGCACGGGGAGAACATGCAAACTCCACACAGGAAGGCCCGACACCTCTGCACTGTTGACCACAGTCCACCACTGTGCAGGACCTAATGAAGCAACTTCACATTTGTTTAGTTTAAAAAAACTATTTTTATCACCTAGTTTTCGGCTCCATGTTCAGTTTCATTCTTACTTTTGTACTGCATTTGCTTGAAAATGTATTTTATTATTCAATAATCTATTTGTTGTACATTTCAAGTTACACGTCTGTATCAACGTGTTTTAATGTGTTGTTGCACTTTATTGTTATTCTTGCACTATTATTTTTTTTCTTTTGCACATTGCTGCTGAACTTTCATCCTCCATTTTCTGCACCACTTATCCTTACGAGGGTTGCGGGCGTGCTGGTGTCAATCCCAGCTGACTTCAGGCAAGTGGCAGGGTGCACCCTGAACTGGTTGCCAGACAATTGCAGAGGAAACACAAAGGAGACACAGGAAAGCAGGAGTACTGTTCCTAGTTTTCCCTAAACCAATACAGTACTAATAAACCAGATGACACTTTTGTTGTAAATCAATAGCAGGCCTGGATGATTTTCAGTATTGCACTTACTGCTTTAATCCCTTGGAATACTATTGTGTAAATCAACCCCAGCCCTCTCCTGTACTGTAACACTGCTGCAATTAGTTTATAGTTGTTGTATGAATGATTAATAGTCCGTATTATTGGAAGTGGGCCCCATAATCTAATTTTAGTCCTTGGGACTCCATAGAGGCATGGGCTGGCTCTGACTGGAAGAGCTACGTTGGCAACAATGTAGGCTCATTATCACACGTAGATTTATGTTATTAGATTACAAAAGAAATGATCCTATTTGGTTACAAATAATGAGTAAAAGGTACATTATCAGTTCAAATGTTGAGTAAAAGTAAAAACTCATACATAAGTCTTGCTGAATTTTTTTTTTGAGGACGATCACAAAGTCTTTCGTTACACAGTGCGTTGAATGGGGACTACAGTATTGCAACGCGACCGATCCATGGGGTATACTTTTATTTTGAAGACAAACATCCGAGTTGTGTGTCAACAACATAAAGCCTTGATTGTGGTGTGGTCTCCAGCTCCGTCTTCCTGTTGTTACGCTTCACAGGGTTGGGACGCGGTCCACGATCCTGCCCTGGAATTGCTGTATGAGGACACCATCGTGCGGAAAATCAGAGAATTACATTGTTGGTACCTGAGGGGAAAGGTCGTGGGAGAACTGCCGTCCAAGAAGAAAATGAAAATACCTGTACTGCAATCTGGATAGGTGGCCCGGTGGTGGCCCAGTGGTACCGGGTTCGATTCCAGCTCTGTGTGTGGAGTTTGCATGTTCTTCCAGTGCCTGCGTGGGGTTTCTCCGGGTACTCCGGTTTCCTCCCTCCTCAAAAACATGCATGACAGGCTAATTTAACACTCTAAATTGTCCCTAGATGTGAGTGTGAGCGCGGATGGTTGTTCGTCTCTGTGTGCCCTACGAGTGGCTGGCAACTGGTTCTAGGGTGTCCCCCGCCTACTGCCCGAAGACAGCTGGACAACAGACTCAGAGAGAGACGTCAAGAGCGAAGATTGGAGCAGATGTCTCAACCGCCACAAGCCAGAGTGTGCCTGTTCCTGACTCAGCCGCATCCACCGAGGAGCCTTTGCAGGTGGGAGAAGGTCGTTTGGACCCCGAGGAGAAAATACGTCTATTCCAAATGATGGCTTGCTTTTACTGTGGCTTGCAGGGTCACCGCGTCACCATCTGCAGGACAAGACCTTCATGTCTGTCAGGTCCTTCCTCCCAACTAGGCAACTGTAAGCTGAACACCTCTATCCACATCGCCACCCAGGAGCATGGAGAGAACAAACCGATTCCAGTGAGTCAAGACCAAAACAAAAATGAGACTCATGAATGCCAAAGACTCAAGATAGACCGAGGTATCTGATCGACTTGGAGGGCTATGGACAGGAGTTGATTCCCCGCTCCTGGACCCATCCTTTCTCCGTACCTTTCACTCATCCGATCCAGCTAAACCAGGTAGGCTGGCAGAAGGTGTCCATTAAGGTGTCATGATACTGTTCTTGTGATTCTCCAGCAGGTAGCAGAAGAGAGCCATCCCTCCAACTTACACACCTGCTGCCAATGTAATCAGCCGACTATTCAAGGATTCCCATGTTGTCATGTCTGTCGGATAATTCACTTAGCTAATGACTGTTACCAAATGTTGAATTTGTCTTGATGGTCCATGTTGTTGTTCCCGCCAAGATTTCTGCACTTACCTTTGTATGTAGATTTTATTCTATTAAAAGGTAACAATTTAACATAGAATGTTCCATCATTATACTAAGAGTCAACAATGTAAATGTATTTATTTCTCTTTACGAAATAGCAGTGTTACAACAAAAGGGGAAATCCACAGTCAGAGCTTCCAGGAACACAGATTTCAGAGCAGTGTTGGGTTTTTTTTTTTTTGTTCTGCCATTGACACTGGAGGTCAAAGTACACATACAACTGACAAAATGTTGGCGTGTCTGTGGGTTGCTAGTGTCTCTTCATAAGGTAACTACAAGTCTCTATTCTAGTTCATCCTAAACATGTTCAGCGGGATCAAGTTCTTCCCACCAAAACTCCCCCAAGCATGCCTTTCCCCAGCCTGATCTCACAAGGTTGAAAACATCACCAGTGTCTTGGCAAGGTGATGAATTCAGACTGTCAGAATGTTGATTCTTGCTCTCAGATGAATCAAAACCAACTGTACCCTCTGTCAACAACTAGTGCCCTTCTTATCTGTTTACTTTTGCAGAACCACAAACAGCAGTGAGAAAGTCAACACACAGAAAGTGAACTGGTCACCACAGGAAAGACGAGTTGAATTTCTGCACTTTTCTCCTCAGGATGGAACATATTCTCAATGTTTGGCTTCTAGGCACATTTTTTATCCTTGTGACAGCACAAGAACGTCACGGTATTTACATTTTCATACTTTTTCCTGTCACAGATTACTTTTGTATTTGGTTATCTAATGATTGCTTGTAGATGAACCCTCATATTAAATTGACGACATTGAACAATCACCTGCCTGCACAGTGCTACATATGGTTGTTTTGTGTCTCACAGTTGAAATGGTCTAAACTTGAATCTCGGTTTAGTCTGACCTGTCTAAAGTTTGCATGTTCGGCAGCTTCCCTCATCATTCTAAGCATACTATGTTA